TGAGAACGTGTGACCATGAGAGAACTAGGAACTCATCTCAGTGGTCCATTTGGATAGATCTAACGTATCAGAAACACTATTTAAAAATGTGGTGGCATTTTAGTAAATAATTAAACTTTGAAGTACAAGTAAATTGTGATAAAAGTGCAAGTCACAGTTTCATAGAGTGTACCTAAGTGCAAGTAAAACGTATTAAAAGTGTAGCAAATAATGTACACCGAGCAATAATATTAAGTACACCTAACGTTATTATTAAGTGCACCAATGTGAAAGACGTTAAGTGCACCAATGTGAAAAGGTAAATTACGTGCACTGTTAAGTGTAAATGATTGCACTTTTAAGTGATTTTACTTTCACATTGTACTCGCACACTTGTATTTGTTACTCACATTTTTAACACATGTTACTTGCACATAAAGTTGCAATTTTTTACAAAAATATCACCGCATTTTTTTTTAAAATTACATATGATCCGTTGATCTTCTCAGATGGACGGCTTAGATTAGTTCATATTTCTCTCCTAGGCGCACGTTCTCACTTGATTGCTTTTATATATATATATATATATATATATATATATATATATATATATATATATATATTGTTTTGATTTATTGCTTTAAAATCAATTATCATACTTAACTATTTTAACAATCTCTCTCGTACATTTTTTAGCCTTCTATTGCATGTTACATTATATGGCTATTAATAGTTAAGTCATGGTTTCAAAAAAAAAAAAAAAAAAAAAGTTAAGTCATGTCACATGTGCACGTGTAATCTCATTTTACTATTCTCTTTCAAAAATGAATTTATTTGACCTTTCTTTACACAAGTATAATAGTTTTAAAAAAAAAAATTGTCAATCTATGGCTTCAAAATCAAATTGAATTGGTATTTGACTAGCTAATGTGGTAGTATTTTTTTTTTTTTTATAACTATATTACTGTAATAATATTATCCTCATGACTATAAACTTCAAATTAAAAATATAATTTTCATGAATGAAAAGTGATTGAAAGTCCTAATTTTCTAACTTTGACCAATTCAAAAGAGAAATGCAATTATAATGAAAATACCTTAGAGCATTCACAATAGTGGTTTTTGCTCTGTTTTTTTAAGAAGGAAAACTCAGGAATTGGTTTTTATCTAACGGGAAATGAGGGTTTTGACTAGATTTTTTCCTGCAAATATGGTTTTTGGGTGGGGTGCACTTTTAAAGAAAAAAGGGGAAAACTTGCCCAGGTTGTTACGCGTGTGCAGCAATCTGTGCCCCTAGAACATCAAAGCGGAGGAATAGCTATCTTTCACAAGCAATTGAGAGTCGATCGGGCATTTCTATGGTTGATAAGATCCTCCCATTGACCCCACATCTGATTCGGGGGATTCCGGAGAAGGAGGTACGGCACGCGCCTTTGAACGCGTAATGCCTTTAATTCTTTATTTATCAGAATTTATTATTTTCCTTTTTTCTTTTTCTCACTTGTTTCTCTCTCCTACATGGCCTAACCCACAAAAATCTATAGGTTGCTCTTATAGTCCAAATTGGAGCTCAACAAAAAATTGATGTTCTATGGTCAAAATTAGGCACTTCTTTATCAAATGAAAATGAAGCCAAAAACCCCTTTGACCACTAATTGCAAAACTTTGACAAACAACAACACCATTGCCAACGTTCAACTCCATGCTTCAACTTTTACATGAATGATAATCTATTAGATCGTTGCCAACAACTATAACTTTCCTTTTTAAGTACAGTAACAAGAGATCACCCTCGAGATATATATTATATCCATTTTCTTTATTAATCCTAAAACCTAATGATGAATATATTATGCCCAAGAGCAGCACGGATCCGGGGGACCACGGAGGTGCCCAAGAGCAACACGGACCCGGGGGACCACGGAGGTGTCCAAGCGCAACGCGGACCGGGAGCACCATGGAGGTGCCCCGACCCGAGCCGACCTACGTGGAGCTCGGTCCTACCCGAGCTCGGGACCCGACACGACCCGGTCCACCCGGACCCGGTCAAAGCTGAAATCTAACCACCCCCCGATTTAGGGGGAGGCGGTTGGGGGGTTTGCTTGTATAAAGACCCCCCTCCTTGTCCTAACAAAGGGCAATTCATTCCACATTATACGATTATTATACACTTTTGTCATACCAAATCTTTGTAATAGCCAAACACTACGGCAATTAATATAATATACGGTCCACCGCGACCTTTACGACATTGTTCTATATATTTCGTTCATTATTTATTATATTACGTTCTTATCCGGATTTATTGATTCGGGTCCACCCCGAGTTAATTAAATCCATCACCTAAGTTAAACCTAAAGAGCAAAATTCTCTACTCTCTAGTGGTGATTACAATTCTTCTTTAGTGCTGGACCATGTTGCATTATATATTAATTGTTTGGGTATTAAACAAATCAATGTAGACCACATGATGCTAACCAAGTTTTTTCAGCATTGTGTTTCAATATGTCTCCTCTCTCTTTCCAGTTTGCAGGTATCCACTGAAACTTGCAGTATTGCATGTGAATCGATGTAATAAATGTATATACATATATTTTAATTTTACACATTTATATAATGGATGGCTTGCAACACCTAATAAAAAAAATTTGCTGACAAAAACTCTAACAAATTAAAGATCTTAACCTAGATAATTAAATGTTGATATTCTTCTCAATTTCGGTACGTCTAGCCCTGTCGGGCTGTCAGGCTTATCGATTCGGAATAATCAGTTATATTATTATTTTATTTTTAGGTTCGGGTTGATCTTAACCCTAAACCTCGGGTTATCGGGCTTATTAGGTGGGTTGAACCATCTTAATTAAATTTAGAAATTGAGAGTGAGTATCCACATTTAGAGCTATAAAAACAGGCTTGATTCGCTGAGTTGAGCCCATTTAGTCTTTTTTAGGAAGGTTGGGTTGTATATTTCTCCAACCTGATCCGAACGGGCCATCCCGTTTAGCCCCTAAGGGGTACCTGTGTTATACGGATTAGCCTCATGACCTATGTAACCCGGCGGTCAACCCGTATACTTCACCCCCCCTACCCATATCTCCACCTCAAGTTTATTTAAATATTTTTTAATTTAAATGTGTTTGTAATTTTGTATTAGAACTTAAAAATAGTATTGTTAAGGGTAAGTCTCTCCTTTAATTAGGGATGACAACGGGATGGGACGGGGGTAGGGAGTGGGGTCCCCGTCCCCAAATTAAAGCCCCATTTCTTGTCCCCGCCCTATTTCCTGAAGCAGATTTTAAATTACTCACCATTCCCGTTCTCACAGGAATTTTTCGAGGATGGTAATTCTCCTTAGAAGTGTTATGACTGTGCAAAAGTGTAAAACTCAACGGCCAACACAAGATAGAGAGATTTCATATGTCTGCCTGGCGGCCAGAATTCTGGTTGGATACGCTGAACGATGACAGCATCATCGTTGCGTTACGTTGTTGGTTTAATATGATATGGGATTAACATAGGACGATGGGTGGATGGATGAAATGGGGTTTATATGGCTCCAAATCTCAAGATTAAAAGAAACAAACTGGAAGAAGATAATTTTTAACTTTTTTATTATTTATTATTATAAAAATAATTTATTTTGTAATATATTTAAAATTTTATTTAAAAAATGTAATAAAAAATACTAAAGATGAATTTACCTATAAACTCCATGTATGTTATGTTTCACATCACTTCTATAATAAAGAATAACCTTAACTAGTTTGGGTTATTGGGCTAGCCCATTAATTTTTGAGCTAGTCCTATCGGATTATCGGGCTTATCAGACTAATGGTTTTTATCGGGCTAACCTGTTCAGGCCATCGACCAATTTGTTTCGGTTTTATCAGGTCAACTCATCGAGTTCGGGCTAAGATTGACATCCCTAGTTCTAGGAACAATTTTATTATTAATCAATCTATTATGTTTGAATTATAGGAAAATATGTATTTATAAGGATACAGAGAGTCACTCAAGATAGGAATGTTAAATGATAATATTCTCAATAATATAGAGCGAGGGAGAATGAATTCTAGAGATTCTGTTCATCCAAACTAATTGGTCGGCCGGCTTATGCAAGAAATCCAATTAAAACATTGACTTTGCCAAGATATACTCATTCGTAGTGGAATCCCCTAGCGCAAACACTGTAACCGACTATAGAGACTCAGATATCGTGCCCAAGAAAAAGACCCAATGGAGACTTCAATAGTCTATCATAGGGCCGGGACATGGCAGTCACACTGCAACATACCAAACTTCATCGGACAGAGACGAGATGTGCATGGACAAAATAAAAGAATCCCGACAGATCAAATTTTTAGCCACAAGATCGGCTACAACGGAACACTCATCTATAGCCTTAATAAATGAAGCCGGACACAATAACGTGCCAACAACATATCCACTACACTTTGACGGCGGAGAAGAGGAACAAGTTGAGTATTCCAGAATAGATAGTTTGAGGAAGTATGTTTAATGGAGATAAAGTGATTAGATGTTTGTAGGGTATTTATTGGGGTTGTAGTTGGATAGACAATATCGAAGATGATGCGAGAAAAGGAGGTGGTGTCACTAGTCGGCGGCGGCGTGACAGTGGTGGTTTTTTTTGGATAGGGTTTGTAGCTATGGATCGTTTGGGTCTACAGATACCAGATGAGAAAAATAGTTCTGTGAACAATCTTATTATTAATCAATCCATTATGTTTGAAGTATTGGAAATTAAAATATGTATTTAAAAGGATATAAAGAGTCACAGTCAGAATAGGAATGGTAAATGATAATATTCTAATAATATAGAGAGGGAGAGGAATTATTGTGTGCATAGAATACAGAGTTCAGTCCCAATAACGTCAAGTAAATGATTATTGAGTAAGCTACCGAAATGGTGTCGTCTTATGCAAGACTAGTAATATTTATTAATTAAAATGTAATACTTTTATATGAATTCATAAAAAAAGTATTATATTTTATCAAAATGGTACTCCCTCCGTCTCTAATTGATTGTCTCATTTAATTTTTGCACGGCTTTTAATACAACATAACAAATGTTAATAACTTTTGAATTTTGCCCTTCAAAAGTAGGTGTTATTTATACAAAGTACAATTGTACTTACCTCTAGAAATTTGAAAAGTCAAAAGGGTAAATTGGGAAATGTAGAGTGATAGTTATGTTCAATTTTGGAAAGATACACTATTTTGGGACAAACTAAAAAGGAAAGTGAGACAGGTAAAATAGGACGGAGTGAGTATTATATTACACATATAACATACTACGATCTTACACAAGACTTGTCCAAATACTAAATGTTTCTTTGGTTATAAATTAAACAAGGAATTAGGCCCTTTAGAATGCAATAAAAGGGAAAATAACTAAATTTAAGCTTTGGAATCTGCCAAAACTGGCGGAATAACTGCCTAATATGAAAGAATGAAACTGCTTGTTACGCAAGGAAAGAATCTCCACGAAATCTGCCATTAAACGCTTCTGGAACGTGCACTCGGTCGGGGGACACGCCGACTGCCTAGCCTGGTCACCCGTATGAGCTAGTTAGGAACCCAGTCAAAGATACACCGGCTACTAAAGTTGATTTTCCATCCGAGCCAATTAAGGTCCTGGTCGGGGACACGCTGACTACAGATCCTGGTGACTTGCCCGAGCCCCATAAGGACCCTAGTCAGGTCGCCCAAATGCTTGTGTCAACGCTGCTCGCTGTGGAGGCCTCTTCCCTTAAACTGCTAAGGTGTTCCTAGGCATTCAGAACCAACTGCCTTCCATGTTCCTGACTGAGTGCCCGATTTTGGGGTATCTATCAATGATGGTAAGTATAATCTTAATTGTCATAGTAATTATTAGTCAATTATACTATTATTAGTGTAATTATTAGCTTAATTACCATAAAATTATTAGATTTTATATAGTAATAGCTTGGGAGGTAATTTAGGCGGGAAGTTGTAAAAGTAGGATTTTATTTTTATTAGTAATATAGAAGTATAGATTATGTTAATTATTAGCTTAATTACCATGATAATTATTAGTCAATTATACTAATATTAGTGTAATTATTAGCTTAATTACCATACAATTATCATATTTTATATAGTAATTTCTTGAGTGGTAATTTAGACGGGAAGTTGTAAAAGTAAAATTTTATTTTTATTAGTAGTATAAAAATATAGATTACCAAAAGACTAAAATATCACACATTTGATAGTCAATATTGCTATTGACGATGTGGTAAAACTATTATTGTTGATGTACCATTTCAAAAATTTACTCATACTTTTTATGGTAAAAAGTAATTTTAATTAACATTGTTGAAATAGTCGAGTACTCGAGTATCAAATATGCTAGCCAATTTAATTAAAGATAAATAAATATACACATTTGTGGGATTAAAACGAAATAAATACTTTTGAAAAGGAATGGGAAAGTGAAATAGCACATTTAATCTCACTATTGATGATCAATCCTAAATTTAGAATGAATAAACCATTATTCATTAATGAAACCAAAAACAAAAAAATAAATCTTAAATTTAGAATAAATATTATCATAACATTTTTTTTTGTTGGTTGAATATTGTTATATACGGAGTAAAATGATTCAATAATTAAAATGGAAGTAAAATTGTAAATGAGAAAAAGACAAGAAAAGTGGTGAATGAATGCTAGGAAGTGTTTGGCATATTGTGCTACTCATCGTTATGATGACATGACCATTCAGTAAGTGAAATGAAGTCACCTGAAAAGTTAATGACATTAAAGCAATTTCAAAAGTACATGTATGTATTTTTTATTTCCGGTGTCAAATTATTTTGAAATTTAAGTACAATCATTCCATACCACTCTGAGTAGTGAGTACTGAGTACTCACCAGACCGTATCAGCTAGGAAGCCCCCGAGTCTTGATAGCAATTCGTATTGACATGGATACGATAATGATATGAAATACATTAACATGGCGTTTGATTAGAACAAAGAAATTAGGGGGAAAATGAAATTTAATTCCGTGAAGAAAGAATAAAGAGATAATTTAAATTATATTGTTTGGTTGAAAGAAATAGAATGATTGTGAATTGAAATGGAAGAAGTGAATAAATACTAAAATATCTTTGTATAATATTATTATTATAATAATAATGAGGGTACAATGGTAATTTATCATGTAATTACAATTCCCCAAAATGTGGAATTGCAATTCCATGAAATTTGGTAGGAATGGAATTACAATCCCATCCTACCAAACACCCTAAGATTAAATATAATTGTAATTAATTAAGTTTAATGAGTCAAAATTCTCATCATTGACATGAACGTGATATTTAAATAGGAAATAGACATGTTTAGTTAATAAATTTTGAATAATAACAATACGATAACCTATAAATTCGATAATCCGTTAAGATGATAAATTTTATAATTTTTAAAATTTAAGAAAATAATACGAAGTATGTTTTTTGAATACTACTGACTTTATTACAATAGAGTATTCATTCCAAATTACTTGGTGTTGTTAGAGTACAAGATCCATAGCTACGAAGTACATGTTTAGCAATACATATTTAACAAATGCACCTCACAATTCAATCAACATAAAGCGTTTAATCTATAAACCTTAATTAAAACAAATAGAGTCCATCAAATCGTGAGTTAATACCCAAAATGGTATCTCAATTATATATCGTAATTCTTAATTTAATCATCGACTATCAAATCATCTGAAATGATTTTTTAATTTATAAAATTTACTCAATTTAGTCTTATAATGTAATAAATTGAGGACTAAATTGAATAAGTTTTACATAGTCAATGGACTATTTTAAATAAATGATGGTTGAAGTCCAAATTAGAAATTATGTCATAGTCAAGAGACTATTTTAACTTATAAATATTATCTATCAATACATTTAATAATTAACTAATACTCTATATTAAAAAATAGAGTATTAATGTAAATGTGTTAGTACAATAATGTTAACATGTTTAATAAGGAAGAAAAGCAAATTGAGGAAACAAAATACTTCACAGGAAGAAGGGAAACAAATATCACTGCATAAAATCAAAGAAATATTGAAAGGAATCATTATGATATCTTTCCTTTTTAATTCTCCCTTCTCTTTGTATATAAGTCTGTCCTATCTTATGAAATATGTAGAATCATATACAATAATATTAAGTTTATAAGAGTTTTTCATGGTTTCAGAGCCTTGAAACTCGCAAGCATCAAGAGCCCGGTTCCTCCATTTTCTTATTATTCAGTCATGGAAGAACCCAAGCTTACATTACAATCATTCCATCAGTGTGCCAGTTTGATTTCAATTAGACTAGGCTCCAATAACTATCTCATGTGGCGATCACAAATCATTCATCTGGCTCGTAGTCTTGGCGTGCTTCATCATTTGGAAAAGAATGATGACAAATCTGAACGTTTGCTAAAAGATGGGGTTGTGAATCCAGCATATACCTTGTGGTTAACAAATGATGGTCTTCTTATTTCATGGTTGCTTGGCACAATAAAAGAAGAAGCTCTGATACCTCTTATAAACTTAATATTATTGTATATGGGCTAAAGCAAGCTCCTCGAGCTTGGTTTGATCGCTTAGATGACATATTGGTGACTGGAAATAATGACTCCTTCATCTCTAACTTAATTCATCAATTAAGTGCAGAATTTGCTATAAAGGATCTTGGATGTCTAACATTTTTTTTAGGTGTGGAAATTAAATACTTCAATGGAGGAGTCATTCTCTCTCAAGGCAAATATATCAAGGATCTTCTCAACCGTACAAGGATGACAGATTGTACTCCTAATGCTACTCCTATGGTTCTCAAAGAAAAAGAAAATATGTCAAAACAAAATGGTGTAGATGCTACTTATTATAGAAGTATTGTTGGTGCTCTTCAATACCTCACATTCACTCGGCCAGACATTCAACATGTTGTCAATAAAGTTTGTCAATTCTTCAACTCCCACACAGAACTACATCTTAAAGCAGTCAAACAAATTCTTCGCTACCTTAAAGGTACACAAGACTATGGCTTACGATTCATTTCTAAAAGTCCTCTCTCTTTGTATGCTTTTTCAGATGCCGATTGGACAGGTTGTCCCTTAACCAGAAGAAGCACAACAGGTTTTTGTGCTTTCCTAGGTGCTAATTGCGTTTTTTGGTGTTCAAAGAAGCAACCTACAGTTGCTCGATCTAGTTCAGAAGCAGAATACAGGTCCATGGCTTCCACTACAGCTGAATTAACTTGGCTCACTTTTTTATTACGTGACATTGGCATCCCTTTGCTTCATGCTCCACAATTATTCTGCGACAATCTCAGTGCTCTTCATATGTCGGTTAATCATCTTTTTCATGCGAGGACATAGCATATCGAAATAGACTACCATTTTGTTCGAGAAAAAGTAGCCATGGGTCACCTTGTCACACGATTTGTGCCATCTTCACACTAAATAGCAGATATTCTCACCAAGCCCTTACCAAAGGCACCTTTTATTTTCCTTCGCGACAAGATGGGACTCCACTTACACCCCGTCTCCAACTTGAAGGGGGCTAATAAGGAAGAAAAGCAAATTGAGGAAACAGAATATTTCACAGGAAGAAGGGAAACAAATATCACTGCATAAAATCAAAGAAATATTGAAAGGAATCATTATGATATCTTGCCTTTTTAATTCTCCCTTCTCTTTGTATATAAGTCTGTCCTATCTTACCAAGACTATGTGGTCTAATGGTACCCGGGTTTGACTTCCATTTGGAAGGTTATGAGTTCGAGCCTCAGTGGAGGCGTTATTTCTTTGTGTTTCAGTAGGTTGAGAAAGTATATGAACAGATACTACAATGTAATAGGGCCAGAAATATTAAAAAAAAAAAAGTCTGCCCTATCTTATGAAATATGTAGAATCATATATAATAATATTAAGTTTATAAGAGTTTTTCAATGTTAAGGACACAAAAATTAACATAGTAACCCCATTAATCACTCGGAACATGTTATACCCAAACATGTAATGAGTTGCCGGAATGCCGGTTCATTAAAAAAAGTATTGTAGATTCATAAAAATAATATCAACTGAACATATCATTTTTTTTTAAATTTCTTTTGTATAAAGAAAATCAATGTATAAAAATATCATTACAAATATATATATATATATATATATATATATATATATATATATATATATATATATATATATATATATATATATATATATATATATATATATATATATATATATATATATGAAATAGAAAAATTAAAATAAATCAAAGTAGGATAAAAGTACTTACCATTACTCCTTAAGGGTCGTTTGGTTCATGGAATGTAAGATTATCTTAATTAATCTGAATACTTTTTGAAAGGTAATGTGATATTTTGAGAATATATAAATATAATATTAACTTGTTTGATTAAGGATTATATTTTATGTTATATTAACCAATTTATTGTAATCCCCTCAATAAACACACACACATATGTATGTATGTATGTATGTATGTATGTGTGTATGTATGTATGTATGTATGTATACCGCCTAGAATTTCGGCAAAATCGCCGTTCTAGGCGGCCTAGGCGCCGACTAGGTTGCGGCAGACTATGCATCCTAGGCGGTCTAGGTGGGCATTTAGGCTAACGATTATATATTTTTTAGTGTTTTTTTTTTTAAATAGGTTATTTCGCTCAAACCTGCGCCGTTTTAAATATTTTAGTACTAATTATTAAAGTATTAAATAAGTTATAATTATCAAGTATTAAGTAATTTTTTTAAAAAAATTTAAAATTTTTTAGAAAAAAAAAAAAGGTGCCTAGACACCCTTAGCGCTAGGCGCCCCCCAGGTGTCCGAAGAACGCCTAGCGATTTTTACAACCTTGATATATATATATATATATATATATATATATATATATATATATATATATATATATATATATATATCTATCTGTGTGTGTGTGTAATTATACATAAATGTATATATGTCAATGTATATATATTAATAAATAAATAAATATATTCACACGTGTATGTATATTTTATTATGTATGCATATATTTATTTTATATATGTTGTTGTTAAGAGGTACTTAACAATGATAAACTTGAACTATTGAAAAGCAATCTTAAAATACCTAAAAGAAGGGAGGTATGAGGTATCATAATAGGTTGGAATATTATCACCACATCAATATTGAGGTAATATAAGATTATTAAAGTAATTAATCTCATAACTTGAAAACACTTTATGCTCAAATGTCATATAGTGACTCTCCCATATGGGAGGTCATGAGATCGAGCCTTAGTGGAGGCGGTATTGACTCTTTGACTCTTTGTGCTTCAATAGGTTGAGAAAGTATGTTTGAATAGATACTACATACAAAAAAAAAAAAAAAAAAAAAAAAATCTCATAACTTGAACCAAACAATATTATGTAGCATTTTCATATCACATTACTTGGGTAATAATAGATGACTTAAACCAAACACCCTTTTTAATGTAACGAATCAGTTACTTATGTGACATGATGATTAAATAATAATATGTTAAATAAATTAAAAGCAAATAGATTATTGATGAATGAATTGGCCTAAGAAGTAGAGATTCCAGAAGATGATTTGAGCCACATGCAAGGTTTGGGTGTCTAGGTAAGAAGATGAGAAAGGCAACGGTGTGAATTATGCCAAAACGGAGAGTTTTGGAGGTTGGAGTGCAAATGTTGGAAGTTTGGGGTCTGGACAGGAAGAGGGGAAAGTTTGGAGGCCAAAGTGCGTGAAGGCATAAATATATAACCCCAAGGCACAAAGACCATTAAAGGGGACAAAAGAAGTGGAGAAATTGAGAAGGAACATAAAATCTATGGTCACAAGGTGCAAAAGTGAAGAAGGGGGATGGACGAGTGGTGAGGCAGCATGGTGCCTTACTTGACCAAATAGCGGGTCGGGCGACCGCTAAGCACCCTATTGCCAGGCAGAACGAGTGGCCATAGGCCACCACCAACTGCTACCGATCGTAAAAAAGTCAATATGGGACAGGGTAGATTAGTGTCCTGCCTAGCCAAAAAATATGTCATCTGGCACCCGATGCCCAACCATTAGGCACAACGGGCCATAAGCGGCTACTAGTCACAAAGAAAAGTGATTAGGGGCCAAATGGGGTGACACATTAAGGGATCTAATTAGGTGGCACACATATTTGGTTGATAATGACTGGAAAATGAGGTTCACTCACTTTCCGCAATGTTTGGTAACCTTGACGTTATAAATAGGGGGTCTTGTTCCTTACAAAGACATCGTCATCTTCTGGCAAGACATTTGACTTCCCTTGTCACTTGTCTTATTTTTCTTGGGCAACTTTCCTAACTGTTTTTGTTTAGAATTTGTAATTAGTCATTTGAGGACCTAAATTGAGTCTAGTTTCCAATATTATTTTTTACGGATAAAAAAAACACATGCAACTCAATGTCCTATTCATTAATTATTTATTATTCGTTACCAAGTTTGGCCCCTAATTATTCAGTTATGTGATGAACATAGTTAAATAAAATCATTAGTTAGTAACAATTTTTTTTTTCAACATAAGTTGAAAAATCACGACTAGTTAATTTTTAAATAGTGAAAGTATAATGTATATTATTTCAATGTTGAAGTAAAATACTAATATTATTAGTCCTATTTATGTTAACATTATATTATTATTATTATATTATTTCAATATTTTATATAGGACATTCATGAGTCCTTAGTATTGGAGAGAGGGCATTTCCTCCAATAATATATTCTTGTACTCTTTATCAACATATATTCTTTATATACAAATTGTAACATCAACTGTGTAAATTACATTATGAAATGATGCAAACAATAATGCTAGGTATGACAATTCATTCATCGTTGAATTATTATATTAAATAGTGTTCTAATATAATTTTAAAATATTTTTGTATTTAAAATAAGGAAAATATCATTTTATGCATATGTATTTATATGTAATAGCGTTTTAATTTCTCAATTGTTGAATAACTACTATTATTAATATTTCAAATTATGATCTTTTATAAGGTGACAATTTTTCTCAATGACCAACAGAAACCATTACAATATGTTTGGTTCACAGAGTAAGCATGGAATGATATGACAATTTTGGGAACATGCATATTATGTTGTTTGTTAATGATTTTTATTCCTCGGAATAATATTCATGAGAATGGTTATTATTCTTGCAAGAGGAATACATGTTCCAATGTCCCCTGGTATTAGGGGGTGTTTGGCAATCAGCTGATAGCTGATAACTGATTGGGTTAGCTGATAACTAATAGCTGATTCTGTTAATTGGTTTGACTAGCTGATTCTATTAACTGGTTATAGATAAGTGTTTGGTAAATTAGCTGATAGCTGATGGTATGTAAGATGACCTTTAAGGACATTTTGCTAATTTTTAATTCTTTAGTTACTTTTACAATTTATTTTCTTTAATTACTTTTACAATTTATTTGTATTTATTATTATTATTATTATTATTATTATTATTATTGTTGTTGTTGTTGTTGTTGTTGTTGTTGTTGTTGTTGTTGTTGTTATTATTATTATTATTATTATTATTATTATTATTATTATTACTTGTAATTTCTGTATTCGTGTTATTAGGGTGTCTAGATAATATTTCAGTATGATTCTGTTTGAGTGATTGACTTAGCACTGTCGTAGACCAGTCAGTAGATCAGTGAAAAGTCTTGGTGCGGAAACTAAATCAAACAGAAGTAAAAGACACATAATATTGTTTACCCAGTTTGATACAACAGTATCTACGTCTGGGGGACCACCATCAGTGAGTCGAATTCACTATCTCAACAGCAAATCAAACAGACGGTAAGAGAAAATCTTCTCACCCAATGTGTGCTACACACCACACGATAATACCCAATCTTTTTGAAAGCTATAGAGGATTGTCGAGCTCGGAGATCCGTGCTTCAGCTTCCAAAGTCCCTTTGGAGATCCGTGCTGTTGCTGTCCGTCTCGCTGACCCACTCACCACTGTTCCCACAGTTGTATGGAATACGGTCCACTGATTTAAGCTCTGTAGAAATTCTTCCCAAGAGTCTTGTTAAACTCATATCATCAATGGTGTCTTGAGAAGATGATAACTCAAAGTATTTTATTTGTAACTCGTGGAGAGAGATTTTTTAACATTCAAATCTTGAAAGATATTTCTTGTAAAGCTCCTCTCTATTTTTTTCTCTCTCACCTTTTTCCCATGTAAACAACTAGTATATATAATACTTGAGACTTGGATGGCAAGTAATCTTCTAGGGTTTCCTTGTAGACCAAGATAACTTGCCATTTTTCCTTTTTGCCAATTTTGACTTCATCAAGAATGGTTTCTAAAATCATCAATATGGTAACTGCATTGCTGGTCATAAGGGCTGCAAAATTAACTGCTAATTTCCAAAACCCGATTGGCATAGTGACTGTTCCGCAAGATCATCACTCAGTGACTGTAACAGACACAACTTGACCTAGCTAGTTTTGCCATAATAATTTTGCCAATTACAAGTTGGGGTTTACATCATCATCATCATCATCATCATCATCATCATCATCATCATCATCATCATCGTCGTCATCGTCGTCATCGTCATCATCGTCATCATCGTCATCATCGTCATCGTTGTCATCGTCATCATCGTCATCATCGTCGTCATCGTCGTCATCGTCGTCATCGTTATCGTCATCGTCATCGTCATCGTCATCATCGTCGCCACCATCGCCACCACCGCCACCACCGCCATCACCGCCGCCACCGCCGCCACTCATTGTCATCGTCATCATCGTCGCCATCGTCGCCACCATTGCCACCACCGCCACCACCGCCATCACCGCCGCCACCGCCGCCGCCGCTACCACCACCACCACCACCACCACCACCACCACCACCACCACCACCACCACCACCTAACTATTAAATTGTTTGTTTGATTATTAATAATGTTGCAATTATAGAGATAATACTCCGTAGTTAATAATAGTTAAACATAAAAAACATCAATTCAAATAAGCATAAGTTAGTAATAATAATTCAACATGATAGTTTTTTTTTTTTTTTTTTTTTTTTTGGAATACAAAAAGGGGGGAAGACCCCAGGCTGAGGGACAAAAAAATAAGGATAAGCCTACACCGTCTCACGAAGTACATGCACAAAAAAATTACAACCATCTTCACCAAGTAATAATACTCTAGGAATGACGCCTAGCTGCAATCAAACTAGATGTAATGTTATCGCGAATAATTGTCATTTCCCGGGTTC